CCACAACAACAAACACATCATTTGAGAAATATAATTCAAAAAATTACATACAAAGATTTCTGTTTGATTTCGATCCAACCGCTCAAATACGCTTACAGCTGCATATTTTTTTTTATTTTTAATTATTTTCTCTTCATTTTTTTATTTGATTTTAATATTTTTATTATTTATATTTTTATTTTTATTTTAATTTTTTTTTTTTGCTATTTTTATCTTTTATTTTTATTATTTTTAATTAATTTTTCTATTTTTATTCATTTTTTTATATCTTAATCCTTATTAAATTTTTTTTCTAATTTAAAAACTTCTTTAATTGAAAAAATTTTTTTTGCTTTTTTAATTAAACAACATTTTTTTCTAATTTGTGTATTTCTTTTAAATTTATTTTTTAAATTGTTAAATTTTTTACTATATTTTTTTTTTGTTGATTTTAGTTTTTATTTTTTTTCAATTTATTTTTTAAATTGTTAATTTTTTTACTATAATTTTTAAAGTAAAAAAAAGTTTTTGAAATTAAAAAAAAAATTCAAATTAAAAGAATTAATAAAAATAAAAAATTAATAAAAAATATAATAAAAATTTTTTATTTTATTTATTTTTATTAATTCTTTTAATTTGAATTTTTTTTTTAATTTCAAAAACTTTTTTTACTTTAAAAAATTTCTTTCTTTTTTTATTTAAAAATAGTTTTTATTTCAAAAACTTTTTTGTGAATTTTTGTATTTCTTTTAAATTTGTGTTATATTTTAATTTGTTATTAATTTTTTAATCTCATTTTTATATTTTTAAATTTCATTTTAATTTTTTTAAATTTTATTTTCTAATTCTTTTTAAAATTATTCAGTAATTATTTTTAATAATTATTTTTATTTTACTTAAGTAAGGAGAGCTTCTTGTGACACATAAATTAGTGTAATTTATATACAAATAAATATGTTTGGTTTACAAATTTTCTTCCCCTACACCAAAAGTTAAAGACAAAAACTCGCTCACACTCGAGCTTTATCCTGTTTTTAGCACTTGCATATAAATATTCTTTATCGTATAAATTATATAAGTCTCGAGATATACTGCTAATTTTACAAAAATAATTTCGCTTCATTTCAATTGTGAAGTTGCCAATAATTCATAGAACCCCTTACTATATTTATTTATACGCAATACTCAATGAATTAAAATTCCTATGATTTTTTTACACTTACATATGTATGCACATGTACTTACATATGGGGTTATCAGAGTGCATTTGTGTATAAATTAACGCTTTCAAGTATTGAGTCACACTATTTTCGAATTGCTTACCTTTGCATTTTCATTTTAATGAGTGCCATTTGACTTACAATTCAGGAAATGGCAAGTGGGTATATACATATGGACATATACATATGTAATATTTCTTCAACTTCTAAGAACGGTGAAAATCATTAGGTGGTTGAAAAAAAAAAATGCATATGCACTTATACACGTACATACAAACATATAAAAGCTACTCGTGCGGGTCATTTTAGTGTAGTCGAATTTGAATTGTATAATTTACTACATGCATTACTAGAAGAACAACCTTGCCGTGTCTTGTGATGACTAGTTAGGTGGATTGCATATTTTAATACTTACATACAAATGTATATACATACATATATATATATATATATATATATACATACCTGTATACAAAAATTTGTATAAAGTGCACACAGCTGCTACTTTACGTGTACTTTATACACATTCTCCACGCTTGTTGTTGTTTTATTTAGTTATTATTGTTATTATTATTTGTTGTTGTTATTGTTTTTTTTTCACTATTTAGAAAACGTAATTTTCTTTCACTTTTATTGTTATTACGACAGCCATCCAACTATTATTAGCATTTGTTATTGCACCGACCGACCGACCGACCGACCAACAGAGCGACCAGTAGAAGCCGTCGGTCGTCGTCATCAACATCTTCACCAACGGCGTCCCGTCCACGTCGTTGTCAATACCAACGCCGACAAGTAGTATGCAAGCAACTATTGTAGTTGTTTTTGTATTGTAGTTTGCCATTTTCTATTTTTATTTTATTTTAATTTCATTTTGTGTCATTAACCTATAAAAACGTGTTCGCGGTAAGCGCGAAAATGAACGGGTGGTCGGTCGGTCGGTCGATCGATCGGCTGGCACACGAAACACTGCACAAACTACTACTACCAATGTAATTGAAGTGATTGGTGTGTGTGGTGCTATATAGTTTTACTGAGTGATGTTGGCAATGATGCAAGCAGCGACGTCAACGTCACTGCAATGTGTGCTTTTGGGCAGAACAGCAATGCACTTGACTTGAGTTGACTGATGTGAGGCAGGCGCATACACGTGCAATTACGTACATATGTACATATATGTACATGTTTATGTATGCACTAGTTGAGATGTGAATTCAGCTGTCTCGCTCTAATAAGTGAGCTCGCAGTACATGCAGTACAAGTGCAAAGTGCAAGGCAATTTTTGTTGGTAGCGAGACGTTGTTTTTATTACTCACATTAGATGACAGTGGCCCTTTTGTGCAGGCTGGTTTTGAACTTGTGAGACTGCTTGCTGGCATGCACATTTGTAAATTTTTTTATTATTATTTTTTTTTGCGAATGCTGAAATGCTTTTCGCAGAAGCAATGTGAAAAGTATAAAAATGCTTGAAAATACAAACGAAAGAAATGTGAAGAATCTATAAATAGTTGCTTCTCTTTAATTGGTTGTGATGAATGACGTCATTGAAAATACACTTTCTTTTACATCGTGGTTAAGTTTTAATTAATGCATATAAGTTTATTCTATTATGTGTTATTTTTGTTCTATCTTATTTAATATTATTTCATTTCCTTTTGTTTATTTAATATTGATGTTTATTTAATTCTATTTTACTTTGTTGTAAAATTTTATTTAAATATATTATTTTGTTCAATTTTTTTTTTTATTTTATTTTATGTTATTCTATTTTTCACTTCGTCTTCTTTTCTCATTTTATTTCATGTCATTCTATTTAATTTCTTTTGATGTAAATTAATAATTTTTTGTTGTTTTATTTCATTTGATTTCATTTGTAATTTTTTTAATATTTATTGAATATTATTTTTCTTAAAAGTGTTTTTGATTAAAATTGTTTTATTTTAAATTATTTTATTCTAATTTTTTTACATAAGTTTTCTTTTTTGCTTTTTTTCTACTCTGTTTAAAAATTTTTTATTTAACATTTTTATTTCTGTTTCGTTTTATTTTTCATTTTTTTTTTTTTATAGTTTAGAAATACTAACTATTATATTTTAATTTGTTATGTTGTTTTTATTTACATTAGTATTCAATTGACTTATTTTTCTAATTTTTGTTTTGATTTTATGTGTTTTTTAATTTCTGTTTTGTTATATTATATTTATTCATTATTCATTTTGTTTCATTTATTTGTTTTGCTTGTTTTGCTTGTCCAAATTAAAATTATTAATTTTTTAAGTTTAGTTTTAGTATTTATTTATATTTATTATTTTATTTTTTTAATTTGATTAAATTAAATTTTTTTCTTTTTAAATTAGTTAGCTTTGTTATTATTTTTATATTTCTTTTTTTTTTTTTTTTTTAATTTTTTTATGCTTTTGTTAAATTTATACAATTTCTTTTCACTCAATTTTATTTTATGTTATTTTTCACATTTTTTATTCATATTAATTTATTTTCTTCACTTTATTTTTTATTATTCAACTTAACTTTGTTGTGTTTTATTTACTACTAATCTGGGTTAATGAACTAATGCTGTGGATAATTAATTATTTTATTTTATTTGACTAGCCAAATACTTTGGCATTAATTTCAAATTTGTGTTATAATTTATTTTGATTTCACACCACGACTTGCGTATTTACGGAGAAATTTTTCTGTGGCACTATGCAATTAGCGCAATTAAAAATCATAATATGAGCGCATGCACCATATATTTGTACATACGTATATCCATCGACATTTATGTATACACCGTTAAAGTGTATTCACTCATAGTCAACAAATCGCGTTGCCTTTCCGCCGATGCACCAAGTATTGTTGTTGGCTGCCGGCATCCATTTTATTTGTGCCGTCAATTTTGCCAGCGGCGACTGCACGAACAACCAACGGACTATGAGTGTGCATAGCCTAGAAGCGTTGGGGCAGCGATATATGTATATGAAAATAATAAATGATAGCATCCAAATGTGTCGGTGTGGCGCGCTAACGCCGGAATGTGTTGAAATGCAAGCCAACTGTGGTGAGCTATGGTGTATGCGGTACACTCATTACAGCCACTTATCAGCATAATTTCACTTACCCCCGAAGTGCTCCTGCATCTATATTTGTGTTTTCATTCATTTTCATATTATTCTCGAAATAATGTGCGGTATGTGCTCAGAAAATGAAATAATTTTTATTATTTCAACATTAGATGAAAGTGTTTTCACTTTTCTCAGTGCGTTTTGGCTTTGGTCATGCAGACAGCAGGCGTGAGTGAGCTTTAATGCTTGCAAATGTGTACAAATGTACGTCTGTTGGTTTTAAGTCTATTTTTGTAAAATTTCTCATCATTGCATGTTTCTACTTTTTTCTCAGTCTAGAATATTAACACTTTTCATTTTCTAATTGTAAATGCGTGTTCTTGTACGCAAAAAAGAAATATTTCGTAATATTTAGCAAAAGTATGGGCCCGCCTCTGGTGGTTGAGTGACAGCTTCATGACAGCTGTGCATAATGTGTACGTCAGAATAATGAATGTGTTTCACTAGTTGAAGTGTGTAATGCGTGCTGGGCTCCCAATGCCTGCTGCTTCCAATTCATTGCAAATTTTTGTATTTTTTATTTAGTATTAAATTTTGAATATTTTCAGTAATGTTATGATTTAAAAAATGAAAATAATTAATTTTTTTATATAAATATTTTCAATATGTCTAAAATTAGCTTTGCTAATTTAATTTGAAAATTTAACTAATTCCTCTTTATCGTTTTTTTTTTCAGGTATGTTTTCAAAAATATTTTTAAACTTAAATTCTTATTGGATTCATATAAATGGGTAAGTAGTAATTGAAATAAAATAAACTAAAAAAAAAAAAAANTAAAATAAAATAAAATAAAATAAAATAAAATAAAATAAAATAAAATAAAATAAAATAAAATAAAATAAAATAAAATAAAATAAAATAAAATAAAATAAAATAAAATAAAATAAAATAAAATAAAATAAAATAAAATAAAATAAAATAAAATAAAATAAAATAAAATAAAATAAAATAAAATAAAATAAAATAAAATAAAATAAAATAAAATAAAATAAAATAAAATAAAATAAAATAAAATAAAATAAAATAAAATAAAATATAATAAAATAAAATAAAATAAAATAAAATAAAATAAAATAAAATAATTAAATTTAAATTAATTTAATTTAATTAACAAAATCAAAATAACACAAAAAAATTAATAAAACAAAATAACTTAACGAAATATAAAGATATATAAAATAAAAGAGAATTAAATGAATTAAAATACAAAACCAGAAAAAAAGGGAATTAAAATATAAAACAATAAAACAAAACGATTTAAAATATAAAACGATAAACTAAAATGAATAAAAATATAACAAAATAATAATAAATTTAATTAAAATTAAAGCAACTAAATTAAATGAAATAATATATAAAGCAATAAAATAAAATAAATTAAAGAACAAACAAAAGTAAAAGAAACAAATTAAAGGAAAATGGAATAACTAACAAAATTTAGATAAAATAAACTAATTTAAACCGAACGAAATTATAATCAAATCAAATCAAACCAAATAAAATAAAATAAAATAAAATAAAATAAAATAAAATAAAATATTATAAAATAAAAAACAAAAAAAAATAAAAAAAAAAATTAAAAAAAATAAAAAATAATAAAAAAAATAAAATAAAATAAAATTAAAAATAAAAAAAAATAAATAAATTTAAAAAATAAAATTTTGTAAATGCACTAAAATAAAATAAAATAAAAGGAATAAATTAAATAATTTAATGTAAAATAAATAAAAATAAATTAAAGTATCAAAAAATGTAATTGAAGCTAATGATTTAAATCAATTGAAATTAAATTAAATGGAAATAAATAAAATTAAATTATTTTTAATTAATTTAAACAACAAGCGCAACGCAGCGTAATTTAAATCGAAACTAGGTCACTGACACGCCGATCTTTAGTGGCTGTTAAGCTTAAATTAAGCTTTACTGCAGAATTTTTGAAAGCAAAAAAAAAAAAAATATATTAAAAAAACGCACACGCATCACCAACTCGTTCACTTGTTATTTACGATGATCATTTTACAACCGAAAAACACTCAAAACAATAAAAAATGTAAATATGCTGTAAACAAAACCCGTTCGAAAGGGTCTGCTGGTACGACCGTACGACCACACAAAAGAAACAAACAATTGAAACAAAACACCAAATAACAGTTTTACGCTGTAAATGTTTCAGCACCCATTAAAGCCCTGGTCCATTTGGAAATTGTTTATTTACTCGACAACTGTGCTCTATGTGCGCACACTTCAATGTTATTTATTTGGCCGCTTCGCTGTTCTCGGCTTTTTGTTCTACATATATACATGCATACATATGTAGTGACCTTTACGACAGAACTTTCGAATGGCTTGGCTGGGCATACCGCCACAAGTCGGAGAAATTATCTTTTTCTGATACATTTATGTATATGTAAATATATTTTTTACAAGAAATCCGAAACTCAAAATTCCGTTTACGCTGCACGTGACTCAAGCTTTATACAGCCTTCTTTATTTATTTTAATTAAAAACGAAAAAAGAAATATTTTGTTTTTAAAGATATCTGCCTTGGTGGCATACTTTCTAAAGGTCTTCCCTTTTTTTGGTATATGCAATTTGTTGTTGCTCTGCTGATCTTCTGCTTCTTCTCGGTGTGTGTTTTTGGTTTCTTCTTTAATTTTTGTTTGTAATTCGACTTGTCTTCTTTGGAAATCGTAAATACGTACGTCTGCGATTTACAATGTCAGCTTTAAGAGCCTGCATACCCACGCACTCGCATTGTTATTGTATTGTATTTAAATATATCTTTCTTTTTCTCTTGTGATAGTGGACAAAGCTTAAAAGGTTCCTTTAACATTTTATTTCATTTATTTTTTTATTTTCTTGTTTGCTTGTTAATCTTTTGACAGTTCGCTTCATTCTTTAGTTTCTTATCTGCTTTTGTAAAAGAGTTGCGAAACAGTATGTGTTATCTATAGTTTTTTTTTTATAAATATTTTTATTTATTTAGGTATCCATCGTTTTTGTATTGTTTTTTTTTTTTTTTTTTTTTTTTTTTCCAAAATTTTTTTTTTTTTTTTTTTTTTTGTACCAGAATTATTCGTACATTTTTGTTTACCTTTGTTTGTGTCTTTTGAAACGTGTGCATTTGCATGTTCTCAACTTGAGTTCCCTTTTCAAGTACCAAAATCTCCAGTTGTTGGATTTTTTTTTTGCTTGAGTGTCTCACTTTTATATAATATTTTGTGGCAAATGTGATTTCTGCTATTAAACAAAAATATAACCCTTAAATCATCGTTTAGTTAATGCTATAACGTTCTTATGACACAATTTCCGGCTGCTGCTTATCATTACTTGCTCCTCTCAACTGTGGATAATTATAAATTATGCTTAATTATCGCATTTTAGTTTATGCCTCTCTTTTTTTCCTCGTCTGCTTGAAACATATTATTTTACTATTCTCGCTCACACTGTCATTTCGTATTCGATATTGTTTATCGCAATCAAACAGACGCGTACCGCTAGTTGCTGGCGAAGACCCTGACCTAAATAGTGTTTTTTTTTTGCACATAGAAAATACTAGCATTTCTAATTTCACTCAAAAAACTACAAATAGTACATAGACACTAAGAAAAAAGATAAAGAATTGCGGAAATTGTATAAACAAATTGTGGAGCTGCACTGAATAGAGTGAAAATAAATATTTATTTATCTGTTAAATAATCTAAATTCGCTTTATTTTAGTGCTGCGGAAACTAGGAATAGAGAATAAAATATTTTATTTGTGACTTTCCAAGCAAGTTGATTCTAAAGCAGATAGTAATTTTAGTAGAATTGTGTGGATTATTTTTAATTTATATTACGTTAAACTCTACAGGCGATGGTCAAACAGTACATACTATCTCTGGCATGGGTCCCTGGTCATGGTAAATAACGAATTGCGAGTGGCTAGCAAGATGATTTAAAGAAAAACTAAGAGCTTGTTATAGAAGTAGAAAGGATGATGAAGAGAACGAAACCATCCATTTTTTATGCTATCGCCCTGCGTTGAGTAATTTGCCATTATATTGCAGGATTGTGTATCCGAGGTCAAAGCTATAGATAGTAAAATTCATTAGAGTATCGAGGTGGTGAGTATAGGAAAGTCTAATGGACAGGGATTGGTGACATCAAGACTGGTTTTATTATTCAGATATATGCAATATTTTGTATTGAAATTTTTTATATATTTTTTTTTTGAAGTTTTATTGGTTTGTATAGAAATTTGGATCTTTTTTTGGTAATGAGGTCTAATTATTTTGCTATTAAAATTCAATTTTTATAATATATTTCAGCAAAATTTCTTTTCTATTGCTTTCCAAATAAAGACCTCTCACATTGACTCACAGCTCTCTCTCTCTCTCTCCCTCTCCCTCACGCGATTGTAACTCATCACACTTCTATTTGACTTTCCTTTGCACTTGTCACCCACTATTAAATTTTCACGCCGTTATTAACTACAAATTGCCTTTGCTACAGTTTATTTGTTTGTTCACTCATATTCGCAGTTCACGTAACACAAGAAAAAAAAAATTAAAATTAAATTATTACGCGCTCACCGTCAGCCAAAATTCCACGCATACCTTATCACTTCAGTATATTCTGAACCCGGCATACATATACGTGTATGTAGATATATATACATACATACATATTTGTGTAGTATATTTGGATTAATTTTTCTGCGAGCACACATAACTACAAACAAACATAGAAATTACCTATGATTATGTGCGATAGTGCGTACTCACGCATTTTGTGGGCGCATCGCACAGAAAAAACTAGGGCACACACGATTTCGTGCCAATTATCGTTTTTGTAGTTCGCCAAAAAAAAAAAAATTGAAAGACAAATAAAAAAAAGTTCTACGATAAGGTGTTGAGAATTTTGTGTGTCAGTGTGTAGATAGGCTGCAATAATGTGGGCCAAATATTGGTTTCTTTGCAAAAAAATGAAAATAAAAAGTAAAATGAAAATAAAAAATAAAATGAAATTAAAATATAAAATGAAAATAGAAAATAAAATAATAATAAAAATTAAAATTAAAATAAAGAATAAAATGAAAATAAAAATAAAAACATAATAAAAAATAAAATTAAAACATAAAAAAAAAGAAATTAAAACAAAAAAAAAATTAAAATGAAAATGAAAACAAAAAATTAAATGAAATTAAAATAAAAATAAAAAATAAAATGACAATTTGAAAATAAAATGAATTCAAAAAATAAAAAAAAAAATTAAAAAACAAAAAAAAAAAAAAAAAAAAAAAAAAAAAAAAATAAAAAAAAAAAAAAAAAAAAAACAAAGTCAAAATAAAAAAATTAAATAAAAAACAAAAATAAAAATTATTAAAAAAAATAAAAAATAGAATATAATTAAAAATTAAAAAAAATAAATGAAATATAAAAGTAAAATCACAAAAAAAAAATTAAAAATAAAATAAAAGATAGATATAACATAAAAAGCAAAGGAAATTTAAAAATAAAAATAACATAAAATGATAATAGAAAATTAAACTAAAAAATACCAAAAAAAATTAACTAGAAGAATGTAAATAATATTAAAATAAAAAAAATGGAAACAAAAAAATTTAAAATTAAAAAATTATAATGAAAATATGAAAAATAAAAGAAAATAAAAGAGATAAAGAAATTTATTGAAAAACAAACAAAAAAAATGTAAAATAAAATAAAAGCCTAAAATAACAAAGCGAAAAGCAAAGAAAATAAAAAAATGGAAATA